ATTGTAAATTCTTGCCACACAAAACACCCTTTACTTTCCAGGAAAGAGGAGCTAGTAGGATAAAGCTTAACTGCAAGGCATATATAGACTGAAGATGGAAACTATGATGAAGAAAGGAAGGAGTGAAAGTTTAAGCTTTCTGAGCAGTAGTTTTAACTTGCAGCATATAAAATGAATATAGGCTGCCACCTTCAGGTGCTGTTCACATAGGAAAACTATAGGAGATGTGTTTAAACACAGTATACTAGAATTCTAGTGATCTACCTACATGAGCAACAGATTTAACAGATTTTCCAATGCATTTTCCAAAAAATTTTCCAATTTTTTGATGCTGTTGTAGTCTGTTTTCTCTAACTCTAAATTAAAGAAACTATATCATTACCTGTCCTCATGTTCACGTAGTGCAATAGAACATTGCCCCACATACTTTAATAAATGAGACTACATTTTTAGCCAAGCAATATATAGGAATGTTCAGCCAGTTAAGCAATTTATAACAACAGTACAAAAAGGAAAAGTATACAATAAGAGGAGCGTTTACTTTTTATAAACTAACCCCAGTTTATAAATTATACTTCCATATAGGAACAGACATAGTTAGCCATGTTAGTCTGAAGTAAAAAAAAAGCCCCGCCCTTACTGCGGGGTGTGTGTGGGGGGTGTGATCCCTGCTGCCTCCCACTGACCTGTGCTGCATGGGGGGCTCTGCCACAAGCCCCCAGATTCCCCAACATCTGCTGCAGCAGCCAGTGAGCATGGGGCTTTTTTTTCCTTTTTGTTTTTAAAGTGCCGGGACGCTGGGGCTGGGCAGGGCAGACATTGATGGGGCTGAGAGAGTGGGCGGGGGTTGGGAGGCACTCAGTGGGGCTGGGGGAGCAGGCAGGGTATGGGGCCTGGCGGGGGTCCCCTCCTCCACTTACTGGCACATGCGGCAGTGAGCGGGGACTGCCCAAATCGCTGAATCTCTGAACCTTCCTCCGAATTGATTTGAGGGCCTCAAATCGATTCGAACCTTTTTATTGGTCTCCTGATTCAATTCGATTTGGAGGTCGAATCAGGCTGAATCCCCTCCAAATCGAATCTGCACCCAAAGCTTTGCACAGCCCTGATATATATACATACCAGGGCTGTGAATTTCGGTCTGGTATGGTGGCAAAATCTCTGAAACCAAATCAAATCAGAGGACCCTTTAATCTCGGGAAAGATTCGGACATAGACACAGCTTTAAATGTTTTTTCTATATACTTTGAGGTACCAGCATGGCTTGTGAATGCTGCGATGCTGGGGCGCATGGAGCATCCCAGAGGAGATCGCTGAGCTGGAGGGGTGTGGTGGGTGGGGGAGCCCAGTGCGCTCTCCGGTGGACCCGGGAGTGGACCGGAGGGGCTTCCAGTCCACTTCCGGGTTCACCGCCAAGCATGTGGGGGGGCCTACTGCACTCCTGTGGGGCACTCCATGTCACAAGCCATGCTATGCCATGCTGGTACCTCGTGGTAGAAAAAACATTGAAAGCTGTGTCTATGTCCGAATCACTGATTCTCCGAATCAGCATCAAATCTTCAGATTTGGATTCAGTCGAATTGAATTGGGGACAGTGATCTGAATCAACAAATCCCTGTCCCTGATTTGGGCCGAATCCAAATCTAATAGGGCCCACTTTGCACACCCCTAATATATATGTATGCGTATACTAGTGTATACACACACACACACACACACTGATAGCATAAGCTTTCATTGAAGCTCATTCTTCAGATATATATATTTATATATCTGATGCTGACCCATCTGAAGAATAAGCTTCAATGAAATCTTGTGCTATATGTGCGTGTGTGTGTGTGTGTGCACGCGCGGGTGCACGGAACAAAAGCTTTCAGTGAAGCTCATTCATCAGATGCTGTGAAAGGATGTGCAAAGCTATGTATAGCAAGGACAGAGAAAGTCTGCCTTCTACCTCCATGTACTAACTAAAAGCAGCAGTTCATTTAGTACAAAAGTTGGTCAAAAAAAGGGAAAATAGACCATAAACATTTATTTCTATTCTTATTAGAACTGTGTAAATTTCACTGAAAAGTCGACACTAAATAAAGAAGAATCAACTAGCTCTATTAGGTCTGAACATTGTAGTAAAAATATTCCTGATTTTTAATTTCAAAATTATAAACATTCAAGCAACTCATCACCCATATTTCTTAGACCTGCACTTACCCATAAGACTGTACACATTAACAAAACATCAGAGTGACTCAAGACAAAAATGTTTTACAAAATTCCTAATTTGCAGATTTAGTAATTTGCACAGAAATTTTTATCCCCCTCCCTCCCCCCAAACAAAAATCAACAGCCGACTCCCCTGGTTATGGTTCATATTACCAGGACTCATATTTTTACAATACCACTCTTACATTGTTTAGTCTACTATGAATTATAAATTACCAAAACAACGACACAAATGACATTATATAACATATTACCCCTTACTTACCTTTATTTATTTGCTATAATTGCAATATTAAGTAATTTGCAATGGATGTAACATTCATTAGTATGCATTAGTAATATGCATTAACACAGCAGGGTCAAACATATGGTTGGCAGGCCAGGTCCAGTTTGTGCAGCCACTCTATCCAGTCCACTGTAAATTGGTGCGGCTAGTGGGTAGTGGCCAGCTGCAGAATCTGGGGCCTTTGAGCCCCAGTGGACATGGTGATTGGCAGCAGGAGGGGGAGAAAGGGCTGATAGTCCTGGCTGCCCTCTGGTTGCTTTGCCTATTGTCACTGGCACAACCCTACCTCCCCAGTTGCTGGCCCAGCTGTGTGTTCCACATTGAGAGCCAGAAATGCTGCTGCATGTTCCCTGTTGGAGCCAGAGCTCCCCCACTCCCCGCCACTTCCTCATGTCCTGGGCTAGATCTGGCCAATAAGAAGTCCCACAATCTGGATCTGGCCTGGTGTGCAAAATGTGTTTGACACCCCGGCATTAACAGATTGAACTCCTTTCCATAAATATGTTTCAGAGGTAATTCCAAGACTTCAGTTATTCAAATATAAATTGGAAATTTTTTTTCCCATCTATATGGTGGTACAGATATACAAGCTAAAAATAGTCTTCTGAAAGCTGATTTGGACACTTTCTTCTTATTCCTTTCATCATAATTTTCAACTTCAATATATACGTTCCTCATAATTACAATGTTGAGAGTATTTCTTATTTTCTGGTTCTGGAGAAAATTAAGTTCATTTTAGTTTAAGGTCTTTTTATTTTCTATATTAACTTGTCATGAACCTCACTAACATATCAATCACTTAATTTCTGGGTATAGATGGAACGTATGGTAAAATGCTTTAAAATGACCGTATTAGACACTTGGTTTTCCAGCACCTACAAGATATATATAGTATTCCATCCTGTAAACTATTATATAAAAGTTAAAAATATAAAGGAAAAATCTAAGATGTTTTCTTTCACCTGGAAAGACTTGTTGATTTGTAGTATAGTCTTTCCTTTATTCCGTTCCCTTTCCCCAGTTCAGTAAATTTCTGTGTTGTGGCTTTAGGGCCTAAATCTCGGTCTGCGAGAAATTCTTCCTGCTCATCTTTTATAATTTCCTCCCTGAGTTTCTGAAATCGCAGCCTTTCTTCTTCATTAGGCCACTCATCTGACAAATCCAAACTGGGCTCCAGCAGCTCCGTTAAGTTTAGTTTTTCAACAGGTGGTATTTCTACTGGAATTGAGAGAGAGAGATTATTGTATACACGTTCATTAAAGCAATAAAGTCAGATAAAAAATTCCTAAGGGATTTTTTTTCCTTTGCATGGTGAGGTACAAATGGAGCATGACTTTATATGTGAACAACTTTATTTCCCACTAGGGAACTACAGTCATCATCTGCAAGATAAGCTGTAAAATTCATTTTCTGTAATGGTATACTTGAAAGAATTATTTTTTATGTATATAATCTTTTTAAGTTATCAGTGCAATCTACCACTGAAGAAGGCTGAGAAAAGATGCATCTTAAAAACTAACTGAATCAGACTGCATAAGCTCTCATGAGCAAGATGCCGGCATCTGATGAAGTGTGCTCTTGCTGTCAGAAGTTTATCCATCTTTGATTCAATTAGTCTATAAGGTACATCTCTACGCTGCCTTCTGTATAACTTTAGATTAATGTGCCTAATTCCCTCTCTCTACTACTGAAGTTACATAGTTGCCCAGAAGCCAATAAGAAGTGTTTCAACTATTCAACATAGTATATTCTCTTCTGTATGTAGTACACAGAGCTGCCTAATTCTTGGGTAGAGTTAACCTACAGAAATGTGTTGTACCTGTTTTCTGCTGACATCCTAGTTATTTCAGGTGCAATTGAATGTTTTGATTTTTGTCTACAAAGCTGGACCTGGTCCTTCACTGTCTAAGCCTTAATTCAGGAAGTACTGAAGTGTGTATTTAATTCCAATGTATGTCATTTTATCTCTACCCAGAAAAGCATTTAAGTAAGTGGATAACTTAAAACATGTTTTAAACCCATTAAAACCAATTGGATTTAAATACATGCTTAAGTACTTTACTGAATTAGAGCCTAAAACATCTCTCTGATTTTCTACAATAGTTAAGATAAACTGGGATGTTTGAGATAATAACCATCTAGCTTACATATAATGAGGCTGGTGGACAGGTGTTGTCCCACTGGACTATGAAGTCTAAAATTTGCTGCTGGAGCCAACTGAACAAAGGCAAAGCCTTTGACCCATTCAGGCCCCTGAAAATATGGAGGACCCATTTTTTCCAACTCAGCAAATACTGAAAAACTAAGGATAGGTGGTGTTAATAATGAGGGATTACAACACAACAACAGGTTGATTTATTTTTATGATGACACTTTTCTCTAGTTTGAACCCAAAGAAACAACATCTAGAGTTCTGAGCCCACTTTTGTCAGGTGCTATATAACTTCAGCTCCTACTGTGCTGAACGGGAGTTGAGAGTGATCAGTACCTTTCCAGAATGCAAAGCTCCTCAGAAATTTAAGACCAAGGTCTCATTCATTCAGGAGCTCTTGCCTCATTTTTGGTTATTGTATAGTGTGCAGAGAGCAATCTAAAACACATGGAAGTCAAGGAAAAGCTTCTCATAGACTTCTGGGAGGTTTTGTATCATGACTTTGTTGTACATCCTGTATAAATGAAAATGGATGGATCCTTTCTAATATGCAAAGAACATAAAATCCCCCCCTGTGTTTTTAATTTTTGAGACAACATATAATATTGCCCTATTAGAAAAAAATATGATCATGTTGTTAAATAAAGACAATAATACATATGTGTGTATGTGTATACACTCTGATATAGTGAGTAGTACTATAGTAAGTAGTAAGTAAATATGCACAAAGAAAAAGCTATTATTTTCTTAGTCTGGAGTATTTAATCCTGGAACATTTATATTGCCTTAAAGCAGTTTTTTGACATTATAAATAACTACATATAAATCAATGAAACAGAGTTCTATGCATGATATAACGCAGGTAAGAGACTCATACCATTATAATAAAGATCGGCAGAAAGAGGGAAAGGGCAAAACACTTTGATATTATAATAAGTAGAATGGTCATAAAATGTGAAGGTATGAACTTTAATCAAAATGAGAAAAAAATAACATAGCCAACATGAACTTGTAAGAGAATATTATTAAGACTTTATGCTCAACTTATTTCTATCTCATCTCTAAAGCCTTGCTCTTCATTCTAAACATGCTAGCGTAAGTAAAAAACCCCAAATGATATTCCTATGTAGACACTAGGACTACCGTATTTTTGCGCATATACCCCGCCCACGGGTATAAGATGCACCCACGTATAACCCGCGGAAAATTGTATTTTTGTAAATAAGTCCGTGTATACGCCGCACCTGTGTATTCCCTGTGGCGGCATATACACGGGGAGGCGGTGCAGCCCAGCCCGCCCCGGCAGCGGTGGCACAGCCCGGCCTGCCCGGGCCCAACGGGGAGGCGGCGCAGCCTGGCCTGCCTGGGCCCAGTGGGGAGGCGGCGCAACCCGCCCCAGCCCCCTGCAGGGAAAAAAAGTCTGCTGATAGCCTGCACCCCCGTATAGCCCGCACCCATCCATTTTTTTTGGTAAAATCGCATATACCCCACAGGATATATGCACGAAAATACAGTACTTTTAGGGTATGCCTACATTTCAGTCAAAGGTGTGACTGCAGTTTATGTAGCTTTAAACTAGGTAACCTAGGTACTAATAGCAGAGTAGCTGTTTCTGAATGAAGCTTAATTTAGGCTACCTATTTTACCCATCTTTTTAAAACAGAGGGCAGTGGGGAGAGGGTTGAGGTAGGTATTTCAGACTACAGTTTGCTCTGTGCTGCCACAGTTATAGTCCTATATTGGTGTGCGCTTCAGTTGCACCTTGACTGAAGAGTAGACTTAAGATACACTAGAGTTTGATTCAACAGAAGCTACAGACTAGGAGTTTCCTTAAATCCCAGAAAACCCAACATTGTTTTTCATCTCCCTCCTCTCCTCATATTTTAGAGGAAATGCATCATCCATGGCACATTCTGTTATCTTCTCCACACAAAGTATGTATATACTACTTCTTACATACTGCTCTCATCCAACATGAACAGATGGGCCACGTGGGAGGGAGCAAAAAACTCTTGAAATATTACAGAAGGTTCCCAAACTTCACGTGCAATGCCCACATATTCTAAATATTAAAGTCCACAGTATTTTTCTTTAAATATACCAATATCTAACTGATGATAATGATATTGTAGTAGCATGAGTTACAAAACAGTTCTGAAGCACACTTTATAGTTATTTTGTAGTGCAAAATATTGTCTTTGAATGAAATAAAAAAATAAAAGAATGTAAAGTTTCATACTATTTTTATATACAATCAACAGAAAAAGTTTGCTTTCATATTTTGAAGCAAAACACCAAATCACAAGATTTTAAAAATTGTGTAGGCACCCAAAAAGGGTAAAAAAAAGAAGGAAAGGAAACCACTGCAGTGTTTTAAATATATAATTTATTTGGGTTATATTTTCATGTATTACAAATATGTGTAGTTTCACAGAAAAATGTGTAAGAGTCAGAAACTGCAATAACTTCTAAACTGAACAGTTATTTGCACGTGTTTCTGTATTACCTTATGGCGTGAATTTAGGTAACATCTGATGTAATGTCTTGATTTGATTCATTCTAGTTGTGAACAGCCTTTATGCAAAAGTGATTTAACACAAATATGAAAAGTTCATCTTATAGTGTGTGAAGCTGAATGACCTTCTATCCACCTACGATCTAAACACTTTTAAAGAAAGATCAGTCCAAATTTTGTTCCTAGTTGCAGTATGAAAATTTGCATGAGATACACTGAAGAAGTTCAGTCTAAGAATTTAGGAGTTACATTTTAACAAAAGTAAAATTTGTGCCTATGTTAAGCCTTGTATTCTTAAAAACTCTTAGATAATTCTCAAAAATAAAATGTACTTTTATTGATTTCAGAAAGAGAACTCATTACCAATAAGAATTGTTCAGAGACATTTCACTTCTGTTTTTTATAATTAACTTTTTGCTTATTAAAAGAAACCTGATAATAGTAGAAAGCCTACCTCCATTTTAAACAAAGGCATTTTAATATATTTCATCCATGGATCTAAATTATTTCCTAAAGTTTATAAAGACATAATTTTGAGTACGTTTGAGGGATGTAACTTCTAATTAAGAATGAACGGTAAATATTTTGTATTTCCTCTGTAGACAAATTTTCTTTTTATTTCAGCTCTGAAAATTACTACAATGAAAACATTAATCAAAGACCTCAGTGCTAAGGATACACCTCAGGTATACTAAGCAGAAATATAATTTATGGAGACAGCTAGTTCTGACTTTCAGAAATTTAAAAATAAATATTATTTGAAGTATAACATTTCCTTTTTTTTTAAAGGAATCTTTAATAATGTGATACACTAATATATAGTAAAATTACAAGTTCTAAAGACACTGCAGTGAAAAATAAATACAGTTGAGAGCATGCAACTGAAAACTTATCAAATGTTATCTTTCTCTAACTTTTACTAAACTCACTAATTCAGCTTATCCATATTTCCATGAACTAGTGGAAATTTTCCTGCGAACAGTCTCTCTTTGACTTTCTTATGTATTCCTTAATAGTGGCCTTGTTTTCTTCATGTGGAATAGAAGGCAAATCTGTGAAATATAGAACTTAGAGGTATGTACATTTGCAAGTATACATAAAAGATTAAACTAGCCTAGTAAAAAAAATTCAGAATATACTCCAAGGAACACCTGTGAATCCCCAATAGCTTTTCCTATTTGTGATCTCTATAATTTGGTGACACTGAGTGGCATACAGCATGAAGACATTAGAGAAGATATGTGTATCTTAGAAGACAGTGTGTTAATTTTCAAAATGTGATTAGCATTTCCTGTAGAATAATGGCTTAAGTCAAACATATGAAACACTCCGTGCTGAACTCAGTTCCTCATACAGCAGCAAATACCCTCTTTTTTATCTACACTCTATTATGAAGTATAATACTTTCTTGAATAGATCCCAAAAACTGTCTTTGTTTTCCAATATAGATAATCAATAGAATGAGACCACAAAAATTAATTGACTCATGGCATAAATAGCAGTTCCCAATCTGTGGTACGTGTACAACCAGTGGTACACAGACAAACTGTC